TGTTGAGGCTGCGGTGGCTGGGAGCGGCCACTGCACTCTAGTCTGGGTGACAGAGTGAGACTCAAAAAAAACAAACAAACTTGTGACCAGATACCTTTTATTTAATCATCATTGTGAAATTATATAAAACTTATTGTCAAAAGCAAGTATATGTCCTTTATCTTAAGGCACCCATGTTCTCTCTTGAGCATGTTTTTTTCTTTCTAATAAATCTTGTCGTATATTGTACATTGCACTTGCTCTGAAATTCTTCTCTGTGGCGGAGTTAAGCACTCACAGGACAACTACACCCCCATGCCACCTGGCATCATAAACTCATAAGGATCATCAGGCATTAGATTCTCATAAGTAGGAAAATACATATGAATTTTTACCCCAAACCTGAGACTTCAAAGAAATGTCCAGCTTTGGAATGTGGCTTAGTATTATCACAATGATCTGTTCTTGCAATAAAGTTGTTAACGTTAGTTATAAGGACAATGCACTTTTAAGTACAAAACTGTGTGAGAGTTAAGTGTTCTTGAATGAGAAGAGAGCCTTCTGAGACTGGGAGGTTTTGAAGACTGGGAGTAATTTGGAGGAGTAGAGTCCTGTCTGGGAGTAATTTGGAGGAATAGAGTCCTGTCAACCTTTTTTAGCATCAGGGACCAGTTTCGTGGAAGACAATTTTTCCACTGCTGGGACGTGGGAGGGAGGAAGATCGTCAGGCATTACATTCTCATAAGGAGCTCGCAACCTAGATCCCTCGCATGTGCAGTTCACACTAGAGTTCACGCTCCTATGAGAATGTAATGCCACTGATCTGACCGAAGGTGGAGCTCTGCTTGCCCTCCACACACCTTTTGCTGTGCAACCCAGTTCCTTATGGGCCACCCACTGGTACCAGTTCACAGGCACCTGGGGTTGGGGACCCTTGCTAGAAGGCATGGCTCTATCCATGGAACACTTTGCAGGTCATGGAGAGGAGTTGAGATCTGGCCATGTACAAGGCCACTAAGAGTTTCTAAGCAGACTAGTTCTTGTTTTGTTTTGTTTTGTTTTTTTGAGTTGGAGTCTCACTCTGTCACCCAGACTGGTGTGCAGTGGCCGCTCCCCGGCCACTGCAGCCTCGACTTGCTGGGCTCTGGCGATCCTTCCACCTCAGCCTTCCG